GATCAGAAATCAGTACTTTGAGGTTTGCAGAAGCCTGTGCCTTGAAGCAAAGCCTCATTGGAACCCCACTATGGAATTCCTGGTCTCAGCTATCTGCTTGGGTGAGGATATAGCTAATTAGCTCCTTGAGGTGACAAACCCATTCAAAGACCCTTTTCAAGGATTAGCAATGCGTATGCTAATTAAATGAATTCTATCTTATCTTCTCATTCAAATCAATCCTAAGGGGGAAGACCTCTGCCAGCTCTTAGTTCCTGCTGTCATTTGAAAGAAAGTAAAGGCTTTTCCTTTAAAAATATTCTATAAATCCTTCAATTTTGCTTATTTTAAATGTCTTTGCCTACATATGTCCAAATAAGTGAGGCTTTAGCATTTTGGGCTTTTTCTCTGCAGAGTGAGTTTTAGGGTTTTGCTGGAGGGACCATTTGTCTTTGAACCCATCATCTTCTACCTTTTTGGCTGAACCTGAATAGAGAAAAACCAGCAACAATCTTAAGGTTTCATTGTCTTTCCTGTGGAAATGAGAAGTCAAACACCGGCTTCGGAACTCTTCCTGTAGATGCCTGTTCTTCATTTCTAATTTTCTTCACTGCATCTTTTTCCTCTTTCTGGTCTTTAGGTCAAATTAGTTCTACTTGATGCGTTTTTTCCCCCATCCTGGTCCTTAATGGGTCATCAAATCTTATGTGGCTTCAAGGACCCAGTAGAATGCTATATTGCTATATTGGATGTTCTTGTTCAGTAAGCTCTCCTTAGTGGATATTTTACATGGCACTTGTAAAGTTCTAATGGGCGTGTGGTTCCTTCACTTCCTATTTTAAATAGAAGACATCACAATAGTACAAGGAATTATATTTTCAAAGATGCTGTGAGGCAAATCCAATACCTCAGATGTTCTGTTAAAGCAGTGATCTCAACCAGAGGTGATCTTGGCCCCACCCCCTAAGAAACGCCCAAACCTGTAGAGAAGTTTACTGAGTTTATTTGAACCAAACTAATGACAATTGCCAGGAAGCATGATCTCAGAAAGGATTAAGACACTGTTACAGAGAATGGCAGTTTTGCAGCTTATTTTATATATTAGAATCAAAGGAGGAGATGTAAGGAGGGTAATGTGAAATCCACTGGTAGTAGATTAAGGGGGTGGGAGAAAGCAAAGTGGGGAAATCCCTGGGATTGGATAAAGAGTAAAACGGAGAGACACACACTTCTTTTGCATTGGTTGATACAGGGTAGTAAATAATGAACATTTACAGCACATAGAGATGGTATTCGGGGAAACAAGATAACAATGAGGGGTTCTATGGTCTCCTGCTCTGGTGGGAGGTTGTGCCCTGCAGGGTCTGGAAAAGGAGATGACTCTGACATTTCAAAGGTATGTTTATTCTCGATGCAAAAATACAATAGACAGGCTTACTTAAGTAAACCTTGACCTTTGTTAAGAAAGCTATAGGCCTAGGATGTGATTACCTACCATACCCACTTTTAATTAGGAATTTTTCTGTTCAGACCATCCTATGTGGTTCCTTTCTGTCTCTGAGTTTGTAAGGCCCACCATGCAGGCCTCCCCTGAACTTGTCAGGTTTAGCATGTGGCCCCTTTTTCTTCTAAACCTAGACATTTGACAATGTTGAGAGACATTTCTGCTTGTCCCAACTTGGGGAGACAGATGTTACTGGCATCTAGTGGAAGAGGTCAGAGGACTCTATTAACATCCTGTAATGCATACGGCAGTCCCAACAAGAAAGAATTATCTGCCCCCAAGATTCAATAGTGCCAAGGTTCAAAATCCTACATTAGAGGAATTCTTGTACTTTCTTTTGCCTCACAACCTAAGAAAAAAGAATGAAAATGCTCCATTTTGGTGATTGCGTGTGTCCTGATTTCTTACATCCCATGCGGATCCAGGAATTGGAGAGCACAAGGGTACCACTGAGCAGGGCAAAGTGCAAGGTCAAGGCAGGCCTTTTCAGCCCCAACAGCTGTTTCAGCTCCACGAAGAGACAACTCGGACCAAAGCAGAGGACCAGAAAGTTACAAGGATGTTTAGCTTGTGATAAAAATCATTTTGCAGATTAAAGTGCTTCCTCCTACCCATAAAATGGTATGTTCTTTAAATAACTCAAAAATAGGAGGCATTTAACTGTTGTAAGCGAGAGGCAGGACTGCTGCTCAGAGCCGCGGTCAATTAATTTCATCCTTGTCATGAAGCCGGGTAGGTATAATCAAGCTGCAGGCGGTAGTGTTCTCCGTACTATTTTCTCCTGTGTGCTATTCAACTACCCCATGTTCTAAGTGCCAGTACTGTCAACACAAAGGGATTCAGGGAGTTTCCTGGAACCAGTTTCTGTCTCTCGATCCATTTCTTGGCTCCATTCTCCCTCACGCTTCTGTGGTAACAAGATGGCTGGCTGCTCAGCTGCCAGATCTAACGCCCTCTCACACATAAACCCCGTTAGGAAAAGCGAGACTCTTTCCCAAGATTCTCCGCTGAGTCTCAGCGCCTCTCATGGCCGTTGCTTGGGTCAGGCACTCTTCCCTGAACCAATGCTGTGATTGGTGAATGTGAAGAGCTGATTGAAAGAGGCCTAGAGGCCGAGGTTCCAGCACAGCCCTGAGCCGGGTAGAGCCTCTTGTGATACATGTGTGCCTAAAGCGGGGCAGACTCATTGCCTTAAAGGAAAATTGGGGTAAATAACTAAAATAGGGGGAATGGATGCTCAGGAGAACACACACACACACACACACACACACACACACACACACACGCATGCACTACTGCTGTTAAGAGGCTTTGGATTCTGTGGTGGAAAATTCGGGTCCTTGCCCTGGTTTTGTCTTTAATGCCCTGGTTGTGCGGTTAATTAGTTGCATGATTTAAGATAACTCCCTAACTCTCTCCCTGCCTCCTTTTTTTCTGACCTGCAGCATGGAGGTAATAATACTATTAGGGTGGTTATGAAAATCAAGCAAGCGTCTTGGGATATTAGAAGCACTGTGCACACAAGTAGTTGTTTAGATACCAATGAATTCAGTTTAGCTTCTAGAATAGACAAATCTAGACCAGCTACCACCCACCCCGCTAGTCCATACCAGCCCTCGGAAGCCAGCGTCTAAATTTATCCCAATCCTCATGGTTGCAGGTCAGTGTGGGAAATCTTCTGAGGTCAATGGTTGAGGTAATTGGCTTGTCGTGGATCTTGAAAAAGTCTCTATGTTAAATGACATAATTGGTTTTAATTATATAATTACGGCACTTAAAGTGTGGGGGTGAAAGGTTACTATTATATTTAGAAGTGAGATTCCCCAAATGAAGCAAGGGTGTTTAAGCCAGTCTTTCTTCGAATTTCTCTTTTTATTTTTTCAGAGGGAAGTCAGCATAGGCTGGCCTTGGCCCTGGCCATTTTCGGATGATTATCCTGCATGAGGTAGTGCTGGGCCTGCTCACAGCATCATAGGAACCTTTGTAAAGAAACTGGAAAGGGCTTCCGTAAAGACCTCATTGTGATCTGCAGTTAATGAGCAGTGGGAACTCAACTGTCAGCAATTGAATCTGATTGGGCAGGGTAATTATATGATTGCCTCTGGTGTTTGCACATGCACGGGAATATTTTTATTGGAAAAAACCTAATTGCTTACTTACTTAGTGGAGGGAAAACCTAAACAAATTTGTGTTGTCATAGGTTAAAAAGACATCCTTTCTTTGTCTCTAGAATAGCTAGCTGCCTGCTCTGCTTTTGAGAAGTGAGTGTTTTTTTTTCTCTCCGTGTTCAGTCAGGGATGTTGTTTGCAGGACTTGAATTATGTGATAACATGAAGATGTAAAGGAAAGCTACTCTGGACTGTGTGTTTGGGTAAAATGACCAAGTGTTATTGCCGTCTCTTGAACCATCCCCCACAATGATCTCTTTCATAGTGCAAAAGTGGCTAGAACCCTGGGCGACGCTCATGCTAAGGGACTTTTACAGGTTTTTGTTTATTTTGTTTTGTTTTTCTGCATGGAGGCCCCTGACAAGATTGGCTTCATAAGCTATCTGGTTTTCCTTCGTTGCATAAGGCAAGTGGGAGGTATTTTATCCGTGGTAGCCTTTTAGACACCAAAAATACCCAGGGGGAGAACAACAAAGTGCTCCCTCTGTAATTTCTCAGGGACTTGTAGGAAAGGAAGGGCAAAGTGAGAGCCAGAAGGAAGAGCCTTGGAGCCCACCCTTTGGTGATGCCCACTTGCAGTCTGGTGTCATGTTTCAACTGTCCTGATGAGCATGGCATGTCACTTACCTATGACGCTGGGATGCAGAAAACAGATTGCTGCAATTGGCTCTACTGTCTAGGTTCAACTCCACATTATTGTTTATTTTTTTCTGTCTTCTTGTAGAGCAGACTGTTTTCTAAGTTCTTTCCTTTCCTGAGATCCCACCTGAAGAGGTCGAAACATGACTGGATTGTGGGGATTGGAGGAGCACCTTGTGATGATGCTGCAGACTCCAGACCTGGTGCCCTGATTGGGCGAAGGATGACAGGCTGGAGGATGGCTGAAAACAAAGGGCTTTCAGCGCCTCGGAGCAGCCATGCTTTCATCTCAGAATCTTGCACATTCTCAGAATCTTGTACACATCCCAGTCTTGTCTGGCTAACTCCATAGGTCCTCTGGGTTCAGTGTTACATGTCACTTCTTCCAGGAAGCCTTCCCTGACCACCCATCACCAGGCTGGGTTGGCTGCCCTTTGCTTTGTGCTCCACAGCATTCTCTAGGTTCTTTTATCCTTTGTCCTTTAATTGCTTGTCTCATTGCTCCGAATGGCCTGTGAGCTCCATGAGAGCAGGGCTTGGGTTTATATTTGTCCCTACTGGCACAGTGTTGGATGAGTGTGTTTGGAAAGACTGGATGAGGGAAGGAATGGTTGATGGGTGTCCCAGGGATCGTGGTGTGTGCTGCCTGGCCTTCCCTACCCTTGCTGTTAATACCACTCTTTTGTTGCTTATAATTCTCATTGCCCCAGATGACCCAGCTCTGTTGGAGGCACGGAGGCACAGTCCAATCTCATGCTGTACACTGATCACCTGTCCAACCTTTGCCTAGAGTGGGAGCCCCCAGTTCCTTCAAGAGATCCAACTTTACCTGTCTGTAAAGAAGAAGAGGAGGAGGGAGACAGCGGGAGGATCCGGTGGCAGTGTAACGCCAGAGCAGGTCCAATGTTTACTCTTACCCTTTTGGAGGTGGGTGACTGCAAATGCCGTGGGGAGCTGGCTTTCAGAGAGGTTCTGTTGGATAGCGCTGGATTTGGGGACTCACATGTACTTCATTTTTTGCTGGAGTGTAGGAGTTGCTATTTTTGTATTGAATTCATAGTCAGACTACTCCATGATTCCCACCAGCATAGAGCAGGAGTCCATGTTCATTATCCACAAAGTAAATTGTCGCACTGGCCGTGTGTTGGTTGTATCTTGCTATGTAGACGGAGAGTACGGTTCCTTCATTGGTTCCTGTTTCATGACTGTTATAGCCGTTATTTGCTTTTCAAGGCCTGTGATTTCCAGTGGCCTTTCTTGTTTTGATTCTCTGGCTTTTGATATTTTGAATCTTCCCTCCTGGGTCAACCTCTTAGACCGTGAGATCCTGAATAACTACTGAACAGATGAGAGTTCGTTTAGGCCCACCCGTCAGTGTTTAATTATAGCCCTACACAATTCTGGGGTATGTCTAACCAGCCTTTTCTCTAAGCAGAACATGAACGTATGACTTTGTAGGCCTCAGGGAAAAGGGGCCTGAACCCCCAAGCCCCCAGCTGTCCCTAAGTTTGGACTGCCCATTGTTGGTCGGGCCACAATAACAATTTCTGGATGGATGATGTTTGCATATGGAAACCCCAGCTTCACATGGTGGGACAGAGTAAACCCTCAGAGCCCCCGGCTGTGTCTTGCATAGCGGCCTTCACCAGCTCTCCTGGGTCTGAAGCATATTCTCCCTCTATTGGTCCTGAGCCTCTCTTTACTGTACATTCTTCAGTTGTACTTCTGCTTTGGCATAATAAGCGCCTAAATTGGAATCTTTGGGGATTCCTTCAAGAAAGAGAGTTTTTACAACCTCTTCTAGTAGGTGTGTTCACCAAGGCTGTGTGCTTTGAACCAAACAGGGGTGGGCCATAGAGGACTTTATTCCCCAATTCCAAGGAAAAGTTGAGTTTAATTTTCAGTTTTGGAATAGCACCAACGGATTCCTCACCACCTCATATCCTTTCTGGATTGAAGCAGGTAATTACTGCCTACACAAATCACATACTTTTGCAAAAAAGAAAAAAGAAATCTCTGAATGACATTTGATTTACAATTAAACTTGGCAATACAGTGCCTAAAGTATCTCATCTTGTGTAATCACAATAATATATTCCCTTTCAGAGTACTTCTGCATGTAAGGGTTAGTCCTCTTGTTATCATTGCAGAATGTGGTGAAGGAATAATTTAAGGAAAGAAAAAGAAAAATTAGAATAAATGATTGCCGTTTTATGTCAGACTCAAACCACCGATTGTTTCTATTGTTTCATTTGAAAGAAGCCATCCTTATATCCCTTCATTGACTGATTTAGTCAACAAACAGATTTAAACACTGGCTCTCTAAGTGCCCTGCCTGGACCAGCATATCTGCGTCTCAGCATCACCTGGGACCTTGTTAGAAGTGCAGATTCTTAGGTGCTACCCAGACCTACTGAATCAGAAACTCTGCAGGTGGCATCCAGCAAGCCGGGTTTCAGTGAACTTCCTGGTGACTCTGCTGCACACAGAGGTGTGAGAACTACTGGTTTAAAACTCCTGTGAATGCATGAGGTGAGGGCATTGATAGGAGTGTACCTGTAGCCATGTCATCCAGGAACCTGTGATCCAATCATGGGCACAAGGCATAGATTCATCAGACAGTTAAGCAGAGTGATCTGTATAAAATGTGAATTACACTCACTTCCTAAGTCCCTCCAGGCAGTTCCCTTTGTACTGGAATAAATATAAATGCTTGGCTAAGGCTTACAAGGCCTGGCATGCTCCATCCCCTCCTTACCTGCCCGCCCTCACCTGGTGCTATTCCCCTTCCCCCAGGGCCCTGCCACACCACACTGGCCTTCTTTCTCATCCTCAAACATGCCTGCTGAGTGTAGTGTCAGCAGGAGCGTAGAGGAAGGGTCAGAAGAGAGAGAACTGCAAGGGTTAAAGAATAGGCTTGGTCACTGAAGCACTTTTTCATACCGTGCAATATTTCTAAGCCAATGTCCCTGTTTGTTAATATATTGATACTCATAAATTGATGTGATCGTATATTAATGTGATAATCAATACTAGTGGCCTCAACTTATAGTGCAGCCTCCTGGAAGGACTTGCTGAATCCTTAAGGAACTAGTAAGTGTACTTTAGTTTATCGTAGTGTTGTGTATTTGTATGAATGTCCTGGTGATTCTGTCTGAGAGTTGGCCTGGCAGGCACAGTGCTCAGCCACACACTGTGAGGGAATAAATGTGGCTGCAGTTATGAGATGCTGCTGAAATCGCCTGTATGACACCAGAGCACTGATGGAGCCGAGGCATGATTCTTGCCGTCGTCACTTACTTTTAGGAAACATGGAGGTCACATTCATTAGCTTTTATCTCGATAAAAAACTATCGGTGAATGCCAGTTTTGATCTTTGGGATATTAAATGTACTATGGGATTTGGGAACAAAGCAACAGTTTGGATTTTTTTTTATTGAGTGTGAAAAAATGGTCTCTTAGGGTTCTTTGCATAATAAGAAAGGGGAAACACATATGTTAAATATGATTTGTTAAAAAACAAAAATTTGAATTTGAGGCAACGGGGTTCTTAAAGATTTTGGACTGCTAGAGCCAAGAACAGGAGGAATGGTTTTTGGTTTTGTTTTTTGTCTTGATTTTGCTTTGACTCTCCACAGTGACAGGCAATATTATAAGTGTAGCATCTCTGGTTTGGGGTATTGTTTGATTTTTAGGGAGCCTCTCATTTGAGATCTTCAGCAGAGAAGGGAAAGTCGGTCTGGAGGAACCGTTAAGGGCAGTGGGCAGTGGGACAGTGCTTGCTCCTGGTGGCTTTTCAGCTTCACCTTGCCTTGTAAAGTTCTTCCAGGAAACAGGGAAGTCTCCACCATGGAAGCTCCCTGGCTTGCCAGGAAGCACTTCCTATTGGAAGGAGAAGTTAGCCTGGGATACACAAGTGAACAAGACAGACATGCCTTGTCCCTGCCCTCCTGCAGCTCGCAGCCCAGAGGCTGGAGACCCCAGCAAGTAACCACAGGGATAAAGGGGCATTTTCATACTTTGAAAGGCACCCTGAGGTTGAGAGAGCTGGGAGTGCAGAGAACAGGGAAGTAGGCTCACTCTGGGGCTGACAGGGAAGGCTTCTCTGTGGACATGAGGCTAAGGATGACCAGGAGTTCATTCGGGTAGGTGTTTAGGTTGGTGGCATACTGGGGGGTAAAGGGGCATGTCTCAGGGGAGCTGGCACCACATCGCATACCATCTGGGACTCTGCCCAGAGGCTGCCACAGCAGAAAGTGTGGGGTGAAAACACCCGAAGTCTCCCTGCAGAGTGAACCCCAAGGGAAGGACTCTTCCCTGCAGCGACTGAGTTTTCTCGGTGTCCCCTAACAGCAAATGCACCATGCCCAAGCATTGCACCAGTACCTTGGCATGTATTTCTTTTCCTTTTCTTGGTTCCTTTGGCTCTTTAGGCGCCTCTCTCTAAGATGCCCCCCAGCAGAGGGGCAGCCTCTGCTCATCTCCTCCTTGAGAACAAAGCTGCCTGTGGGGGACGTTTACTATTCCCTAGAGGATTTTTACATGACTTTTAGGGAGATATTTGAGCATCTTCAGAGAATCTTCCTGGGAGGAACTACCTTCGCCGACTGCCTTCTTGACTCAAGCTCATCACTGCACACGTCTCATCTGCCTGAGCCAGAACACGGTTTGAGGGCAGGTTCTGTCTGTTTCTTTCTTGGTGCCTGGCACACTGCCTTGGCACAGATTTGGCACTCAGAAATAGTTGACAGATGAAAGAAGAGATTCTGCAATTCCAAATGCCCTTATAATGCTGAAGCTTAATTTGGGGAATGTGAAATGAAAAATGCGATGCCTGATTCATTTATTTATCCATCCACCTACCGAAAAGCAGTTCTCAAGGAGTTCCTGTTTAACTGTGCAACCAAAACACCATGCATGGCACATGGTAAGTTCACAGTCGATTCTGGTTATTATAGAGGAACTGCCAAACTAACTCTGGCTTTTGAATCCTTCTGCATTCTTGTCCCACTGAGTTCTGCAGAAGCCCCAGCTATTCATCCCTCTCCTGTCATTTCGGAGTGACAGTCTGGGGTACTAGGCTCTGAGCGTGTCCTGCTTCTCTTCAGAGAAGCAGAACTCCCCCATGGGAGGGACTTCATGGCATAAGCACTGACATTTTAGTGCTTGAGGACAGCTGACTGGCTGTCTGCACAAAGCCCGGGTGAACACAAAATGACAGGGAGCCTTCTGACTGGCTTTTTAAAAAAATTAACAAATTAATGAAGATAGGCTTCTACTTGCTGTTTCTGAAGAGACATAGGATTTCTTTGATTAAAGCAAAAGGACCATTTCTGCAGACCTGAAAAGTGTGAGCCTGTGATCCAAAAGCGGCAGTTTGGCTGGCCCACGTAGGTCCCCCAAACCTGCAAATATCACATTAAATCCAGCTTTCTGGACTTTGGGAAAAATCGTATGATCCAGCAACACAAGACCATGTTCCCAGAGATCGCCACAGCAGACCCCTTTGTCCCAGCGTGCCCGCTCTAGTTCATTGGCCACTCATGTCTTCCTTTCCTAAGCCAGGCTCACGTCCTATTCACGCTACCTCCCTGGCCGCTGTCGGCAGTGTGTGCAGCCCTCACTGAGACGGGCAGACGGGGGCCTTGTGGTGGGCTTGCTGTGGTCAGGAGCGCAGGAACTATAGGCAGGGATGCCTCTCCAGTCACCCGTCCAGATGCCACATGTCAGGGCTTGTCAATGTCATCAGATCACCACCCACCCAGGGCTTCTCATTAGAACTAAGCAGGCACTCACCTAGGCCCCACCTCTGGGTTCTGACTCTGGGTGGGACTCTAAGGCCAGGCCCCCATGCACAGCTTCAGAAAGCCCGCAGTGTGGCTTGTGCACAGCTCACCT